CTAAAGTATTTTTTATTATATATTCTGGACATATTATAACTTTAACTACAAAAACTTTCATTGAGTTAGTAGAAAGCTAGAAAAATAGAGAAAGAACATAAGATAAACAATTTTGAAGTAGTAGACTAAAGACGAAGTATAAGATATAAGATTAAATGATTTAATATTACTATTTATCAACCAATATTAGTAGAAGAGAATACAAATGCTCAATATATTTGGAGCTACTTGTATTTATCAAATAAAAGAGTGAGGACATGAACGAGAGTTTAAATTCACAAGCAAATGTTAGGTGGTTAAAAAAAATTAAAACTAAACAACATGAGAACAACAAGATGACAAATAAAATATTTATAAAACTATAATTGAATCATAAACGTTGTATGTAACTAAGTTTTGGGCTATAAAGAAGGCATTAATAGAAAATTTAAGCACAATAGAGTAATATCTTTAAGATGTGTCAGGCAAACAAAAAAAGAAATATCAAGAATGATTATAAGAAAAATGGTAGAAATAGCTTCTATTAAAGAGAAAATAGTAAAAGATTAACTAAGATAGTTTGAGCATATAAAATAGGTTAGATATGGAATAATAAATAAGAAAATAAAAGAAATGCCGAGAGTTTGGGCAAAAAAAAATCGAGTTGGGAGGAGGGGGTGGAGGAAGGATAAACTTAGGTTAATTCTAATAAAATTTGCCCTATATTATATATATATATATATATATATATATATAAAATATAGGCATGGTGTCATTCCCCTCTGCTAGGGTTTCGCCTCATGGAGAACCCTAGCTTTCTGCTACACGGATCTCTCTCGCGTTTCTATTTCCCTGCTTCATTTTCGTCGACGTTGGTGCTCGCGTCGTCGCTTTTCGTTTTGTTTCTGGCGGCAGGCTCGCGCATCCTTCCAGACGACGAGGCAGGCCGAGTTTTCACATTTCTTTCTAGACGACGTCCTCGTCTGTCCAAGATGCCTCCTTCGCAGTCCTCTCTTCGTCTCGGTCTGGCAACAGAGCTGCTGTTTTGCTCGCTTGGTCACTTTTGTCGCACTGCTCTACCCGAGTTTTCACATTTCCTTTCAAACGACGTCTCCTCGCTTCCTGTCCGACAGAATCTTGTAGGCAGAGATGGCTATTCATTCCTATGCTACTGAACTTGCCGACGACCTCTCGATTCCTACTCATGCTCCTCTTTCAGAATCAGAGACTGGTTTTCGTATAGGTAAATCTTGCAATATTCCTCAATCTTTTCATGATACTCTTGAAGGTGGTGGTGATCACACCTTCATAAAAAAATTGGAGAAAAAAATGGGAAGTCTGCTCTTATTCTCACAGAGGTTGAAACCAGTACTCTCACGTCCTATGGCATTTTGCTCTAGTGGGAAAATTTCTTTATGGTAACCCAAAATTGGAAATCATTCGGAAAGAGTTTGAGGCTATGAAACTATTGGGCAGTTGGAATATTGGTTTACATGACGGTTTGCACATACTGATTCAGTTGTCTCATGATGTTGATTATACTCGTATCTTTTCTCGGAATGTTATCATGATCGACAACCGTAATATGAAAATTATGAAGTGGACTGTTGGTTTCGACCCAAAAGCGGAGTCTGGTTTCGACCCAAAAGCGGAGCAAAAGCGGAGTCCCCTATCATTCCAGTTTGGACAAAATTTCCGGAGTTAAAATTACATCTGTTCAGTTTGAAAATTCTGTACTCCTTAGCAACTTCCTACGGTAAGCCTCTCAAAGTTGATAGTCCCACGCTTGCTGTCACCAGACTCTCTGTGGCTTGTGTGTTAGTTGAGAGGGATATCACTCAACCTGCTCCGGATGAGCTGTGGATTAGAACCACTCACAACGGGTATTGGCAAAAGGTTGAAATCGAACCACACCCTCCTTATTGCTCTCATTGTAGTATGTTTGGCCACAAATCCACTATTTGCTATCGTTTGCATCCTCATCTAAAGGTCGAATATCACTAAAGAACAACCACCTATTATCCCTGTTGAGAAGATGTAACACGATCTTCTATCCAACACCGCAGTTCCTGAAGAAGAACAACATACTACAGCTACAGATCCAGTTGTGCTTATAACACCCACTGTTATTGAAGAAGACTCACTTATATGCCAAGACACGAAAATGCTCCTTTGATTCAATAGCAGATCAGCAGGTACAACATGTCGTTGCTTCTAATATTCAATAATTTGCACTTTTCCAGCAAACTTTAGACCAAGATCAGGTGAGCCAATCTTCGGAAGAGGAACGATAGGTCTATCCCAGGAGGAAGAAGAAGAATGGAGGTCGACTCCAGCCGACCCCAGTTAGGGAACATATTGGATGATACATTGGTTACACTGGCAATGATAACAATCTTACCAACTTATTAGCTTGTTCCTTCCCTAGAACTAGAGGCTAGAGGCAAAACCAAACTAGGTTGCTCTCTAGTCACCTGATACTTTGTATCAAACTAGGTTGCTCTCTAGTCACCTGATACTTTGTTGGTTGCTCTCTAGCAACCTGATACTTTGCATTTCAACATTTTTAGGCTTTCTCTTTATGTTTATATTGTACTTTTTTGTATTCTCTAGTTTTGGAACCACTTGTGGTTTTGGAGTGGACAGGGTGTCATGTTTGGGCCCTTCAATACATTGTATCTGTATATTTCTTTCTAGTTAATATATTAGCCTTTTTGGGCTTCGGGCTTTATATATATATATATATATATGCGCGTGTGTGTGTACAAAATAAGTTTTTTAACATCTTATGCATTATAACTTTAAGTTAACTAAATCTTTCAGGCTATATAAATAACATTAACATTCTTAATATAATTCAAACATTTATTAAATAAGGTCCTATTTTATGACCATGGTACCACAGAGTTACAATATTATTTTGCATGCAATATTATTATAAAACTTCTATTTTGCATCCCAACACTTTCTTAAGCACACACACACACACACTCAAATAGAGAGATCTAGAGAAATTCCCTCACCATCCTTAGTTGCAAAGTCAATACTTATCCTTTATTTCAGTGTTTTCAAGCATTCCTAAAAATTTTACAAATATGTCATCTACCGAACATTTATAATTTCGTTGTCTGCCACTCCTAAGCGTTAAAAAGGGTATCATATATATGGTCTTTAGATGCATCACCCACTATTCTCTTTTTATCAACCAGGTGTGAAGGCAGAAATTGAAGAATATCAAAGGTTTTTTAGTTGTCGTCATATGGAAGCATTTCCTTTTTTTTTGGCACAGTTGACTACTACATGAAGTTTGAAGCAAAAGGTTTTCTTGAAAGGAAATCAATGACTATCACAAGGGTAATGATTGACAAGGTGGTTTAACATAGGAGATAATAGGGCTTCCTCTATCTTTGATGATAATGGAAAATATAAGAATAGTTGCAAAGATTTGGAGAGGGAATAAAAGAGAGAGAGGGCAGAAAACTAGTGAGAAAAATATTCAAGAATAAAAATTTGTATCCTATTTTTTTACTTTCGACTATTGACATTTATCTCTCTATATAGATGTGAACATTGATGGATTGCATAAAACCGTATAGATACTGTTGTGTTATTTTCTAGATGTAATTCTTAAAAATTATTTTCATTCTCATGATAGCCATTGTTGTAGAGTGTTCTTCCCCATGAAAGGTATTATTTGCTTTTGTGTTTTAAAAAATTGGGAACAATGGCATATAAAAAAGGGAAGGTGAGGATCTGTTAATGCAAAAGTAAGGACTTCATGTACAGAAATATATAGATCAAGGACTAATAAAACAAAAGAAAGTTGCATTTCTCTCAAAAAGTCGAAGCTGATAATAGTAAGCCAAGAAGATGAGAATATTCTAAATTGGAAGATTGTATAAGTCGTATGTCTTTAACCGACAAAGAATATTGCCATCACATATAGCACGAAAATTATGACAATTGTAAGTCAATCTTTTGCTAGAAATGTATAAGAAGCCTTTAAAAGTGTTGCAAATTATGAGAGTTTTTTAATGTCACGCAAGTTCTCAATCAAAATGGATTACATACTTCCATAAATTTTTTATTCCTCTGAACAAGATAAAACTATTATCTATCCTCTAAGAAAAGCTAACACTACTATCTATCTACCAGAATTAGAGAAAGCTACCAGTTGTTTTTATCTCATCTCTCACATGATGGGGTCTACAAGATTGAAGAGATATAGGTACTTCAAAAATAAATATTCAACTTTAGTGACCTCCAATATCTAGATTTAGGATTCCTGCACCTTTCAAATTCTTGATTGATTTTTCCATTATGACTTTATGAGTAGAATTTAGTTTGAAGTGCTTTCTACTTGCCTTCATGAATATTTGCATGGTAGAACTAATCCTTACATGCATTATGCTAGTTGACCAAAATCCCAAATCCATGATTTCTCCATGTTTTCAATGTTCTCTTGATGCTCTACCATAGCATTTGGATCCCAAGAACAACTTAAATCAAAGGATTGGTATCAAACCTAGCAGAGAAAAAGGGATGCGTCTATTGTCAAATATTAAGTAGCAAGAACCTCGAAATCATCTTAAATCAATGAATCGGTATCAACTTAGCAGAGAGAGAGAGAGAGAGACAGACAGACAGAGATGTCTAATTGTAAAATATTAAATTAATTGAACTTAATTAATTTCCATCAGCTAGAAATATGCAATGTAAGCTTCTTACTGAAAGAAGTAAAATAGAACCCTGATAAAATAAAATAAAAACAAAAAACTAATCACTGAAAATTTGTTTAAGCTGCAATCAGGATGCAAACTCATCTGCCAAAATAAAATCAAACAAGTACTCACAACTTGAATATAACGGGAAACAATCAAAGCGAGATTAAGAAAAGGTGCAGATTAAGACAACTGCACCTCAGACCAAGTTTTTGCTTTTACTGCACCCCAAGAAAAGCATAAATAAAAAAGTCCCCTGTTAAATTTAAAAAGGACGGTAAGATAGATGGTTATGATTACCTGAGCCTCGGGATTTTTTATTTTGAGAAGCAATTTAAGAACCACTCGATGACAAAGTGTGCATTTTTCCTCATTCTTTCCAATAGAAACAGAGGATGCCTCACAAAGCCCCACCCGTCCACAGAATTCCTCTGGATGGGTATTGCCAATTGACGTAAAAAAAAGATCTGAATAGTAATCCGCCAATATGAGACACTGGCAAAAATTTCACCAAGAGTATAAGCTAAAGGAACCAATCCAAGTAAAGTCATGAAGAAATCAGAACATTGGTTTGAGTAGACATTTAAGAGTGAATTCAGCATAGTGTACCTTCAACTCCAGTGAATGCATATGAGAACATGCATAATGCAGAATATCAAGTATCTCAGATCTAGTCTTGTTTTCATTCAGAAATGTGGTAGCTTGAGCAGCAAAAACTTCACATACAGTGCACAATTGTTCAGGTCCTCCATCCTTTCCTTCAGTTATCAGATTTTCACCTGGGATGAACATGTACGCCCACTGTTAGTATGATCGAAAGGCATACAAACATTGAAAATGGAAACAAGGAAACATTCATAATCCCAATGTAGCATTTATCTCAAGCAAGTAATGGAATAAATTTCCCTTCTTATTGAGCTTTTAAAGGTCAACTCTTGGAGTAGGCCAATTAAAAGACACCAGAACCCATAAGTATCTTTTAATCCCTGATAAACTCCCGAGGTTCAATTAGTTTAAATGGCAATATTTGTTTATGAAACAAATACAAAATCAAGGGACATTGGAAACCAAGAAGTACAAGACTCTCGAGATATGTACTTTATAGGATTTTTAAGTTGAAGGAACATTAATTTAACAAAACCTTTTGAAAAGTCTCCAAGTATGTTGTATTCTGCACCTTCCATGCTTTCAGCATATAGATGACAATCAAATTTCTACCAGAATCTTAGTATTCCCATAAATTATTAAGCCAGTATTAAAATCCTGCATCTCCATTCAACACCCGCTATAAACTTTAACTAATAACAATGAAGGGGATGACCACTGCCAACAATCTGTAATTACGTTCTCGAACAAAACAAGATTTTTTCAAATAGCTCAAGCATTGTTTCTCACGTCCCACAACAACCCCTCATGTTTGAACATAAGACATAACATACGCAGGTATGAGACATAACATAGGCAGGTATGACTTAGGTTATTAAATCTATCACCAACACTCGTTCTGGAGTTTTACCCATCGAACATAAAACATAACATAGGCAGCTATGACTTAGCTCACTAATCTATCACCAACACTCGTTTTGGAATTTTACCCACCAAAATATATTGAGCAATAAATTCAATAACCTGAACGACTAAAACATAACATACCACATAATTCCTAACTCGCCAATATCCATTAATTAAAACAATTCAATTGTGTGGAAGCATCTGAAAACAATTCATTTTCAACTATAAATATTCTAATAAACATCAACGTTTACATTCATAAAATTTTTTTTTTATCATTTAAAAATTGTCTTAGCATGCAGGGTAGTAAATTAAAAAACTAATCTTAACTCAATTTTAACTTTATATTTTCCTCTAGTTCAAACAACAATTAGAGTAATAATCTAGGAAGCTATTGGTTCAGTAATATAAATAATGCTAATACATAATTCAAATACTCAAGGAGATATAATAACATGGCATATAATCATGAATTGGACACTAATTAAATTCATAATTTAGATCAGTCTATTAACTATAATCATTATAAAATGCATGGCTTGAAAGATGAGTTGACATAACAGTAAGATACATAATCTTATAGAAATAAAAAAAAGAAAAAAAAATTATTGCATGTCCAACCACCATATACATACACAATCGAGGGGATAACGACTGCTAAAGTTCTATAATTGCATTCTCCAATAAAACAAAGTTCTCTTAAAAAGCTCAAGCTGTGTTTGTCACGCCCGACAAGTGTTCAAACATAGACAGGTACAACTCAAGTGACTAAATCTACCACAACAGCTTTACCCACCAAAATATATTGAGTAATAAACTCAATAACATAATGGCCCAACTTAGCATACCACATAATTCCATATTTAGTTTACATAGCACTTGACGCTTTAAGATTTTTAGTTTTTTGGAATAATGGATATGCATATCTCACACATAAAGTTCCATATTTACATAGCACTTGATGCTTTAAACCTAAGCATGAAAACGTGTATTTGAATTTTAAAAGGTGGTAAAAATGCTATTTTTTATGTGATATTAAAGATTTGAGTGTTGTGTGTGTGAATATGAAAGTTTGGGTGTGGGATATGTAAATAAATAAGAATTGTGTGCTATGTATGTAAATGCCCCAAGATAAAAAAAAAAGTGGGCTAGAACTATTCTGAAGAAAGTTTTTTTCAAATCTGAAATAATGCCCGATTTGCAGGAGGCAAGGGTAAAATTTGGACATTTAACGTTGCTATTTGAAGAAATATATGCACATTGAATAGCCATTAAGGTATGAAAAGTTCAAAAATTAGCTAGCATTAAATAAATCACAATTCAAGTAAAATGTCTCAAAATTACTACTAAAAGTTGAATAAATTTAACAACAAATTAGACACCCAACAAATATAGCAATTTGTTAGCTCTAAAAATGGAATCAAGCAAATTTGGTAATAACGTTAAAAAGGTTAATTAAGTTAATTGGCATAATCAAGCTTAAATAGCTTGATTTGATTAAAACTATAGCCTAAATAAGTTGATTCATGATCAAATTAAATCTAATGAACCTAATGAATCGCACTAGATACTTTGATTATGACATTAAATTAATCACACATCTTCATGCGACTAATTTGATGTTATCAATTTTTAGATATATTTTAAATTAAATTAAAATTGATTGAAATAGGATTTGAAGTTCTAACAAATCAAAAAAGATTTGTTACCACATCACAACAATGATGGACATCCTTCTAACCACAATCAAAACCTAAAAGAGCAAACTTGCAGCTAGCATTTATGTAATAAGGATCTTTGTAAGGCATGAGATCCTCCTCTCTTGATTGAACATTGTTTGCTAACTACACATGATCAAAACGGTCAACAAGATAATTTAAATGTGATAATTAATAAATCTAAGCTTGTCGGTACCTCTAATCTCTTTGGCTACTCATCAAAGGCAAATTTGATGTTTTCATCATCCTCTAAAATGCTAGCATTATAAGCAAGAAACAACAACAACAAAGCCTTAATCCCACTACATTCGGTCGGCTACATGAACACTTTTTCTCCATTGCATCCTTTTTAGTGTCATATTTTCATTTAGTTCTAATAAATTAAAATCATTTTTTATACAATAAGCCCAAGTCTTCCTAGGTCTACCTCTGCCTTTCTTAATATAAGTTGAATCTAAAACATCTACTCTCCTAATCGGATCATCAGATGGTCGAAGTTTAATGTGACCAAAACATCTAAGATGGCTTTCTCTAATTTTGTCTGTCACAGGAGCTACACCAACCCTATCACAGATATATTCATTTCGCATTTTGTCTTTAAGTGTAAGGCCACTAATACACCTAATCATTCTCTTTCTTGACAACACTTAATTTAGTATTATGCTTCTCTTTTAAAGACCAACATTCAGCGTTATAGAGCATTGCAGGTCTCGCCATTGTCTTATAAAGTTTTCTATTTCAGTCTAAGCGGTACTTTTCTATCACACAAAAGGCCCGAAGCATTCCTCCACTTCAACCAACCAACTTGAATTCTACTATTAACATCCCCATTTATATCACCATAGCTTTGAACAACAGACCCAAGATATCTAAATCGTTCACACCTTTTAATAATTTGATCACCCAAAGTTACACTTTTGTCACTAGAGCTTCTACTACTAAAATTGCATTCCATGTATTCAATTTTAGTTCTACTCAAATGAAAGCCTTAAGATTCCAATGTAGATCTCCATAATTCGAGTTTTTCCTGAATTTTTTTCTCTCATCTTATCCACAAGAAGGATATCATAAGCAAAAAGCATACACCAAGGTACATCCTCCTGTAAATGTCCAGTAAGGCCATTGATAACTAAAGCAAACAGATATGGGCTTAGGGCCGATCCCTGATGTAATCCAACAGAAATAGGAAAATATTTGGTTAATCCACCTTCAGTTCGAACACAAGTAAAACCTCTAGTATACATATCTTTAATGACATAAATATAAGTCATATCAAGTCATATCAACCTTTCTTCTCAAGAACTCTCCAAAGGATATCTCCTGGAACCTTATCGTAAGCTTTTTCTAAATCAATACAAATCAAATGTAGATTCTCATTATTATCTCTAAACTTCTCCATCAAACCTCTCAACAAATGTATAGCTTCCATAGTAGACCTGCCCAACATAAATCCAAATTGAATATGAGAAATCTTTGTAATAAGTCTTAACCTATGTTCAATTACCCTCTCCCATAATTTTAATACATCAACTTAATTCCTCTATAATTTGCGCACTCTTGTGCATCCTCTTTATTCTTAAAAATGGGGACCAAAACACTCTTCCTCCACTCCTCATACATCTTTTGAGTTTTTAAAATAATATTAAAGAGTTTGGTAAGCCAAGAAACTCCCAAATCTCCTAATTATTTCCACACTTTAATTGGGATATCATCAGGTCCTACAGACTTTCCACCCTTGATTTTCTTTGAAGCCTCCTCAACTTCTTTTTTAATAATGCGGCGGTAAAAATGGAATGTTTTATGATAATTAAAGATATTAAGATTACTAAGGATGATCGTATTTTTAGAAACTTCATTAAAATTTTTATCAAAATAACTCACCCACCTATGTTGAATATCTTTTTCTAGGAAAATCACTTTTTGATTTTCATCTTTAATACACTTTACTTAAATTAAATCTTTATTTTTCTTTTCTCTTTATTTGGCTAGTTTATACATATATTTTTCACCCTCCTTCGTATCTAATTTATTATAAAGATCATTAAAAACAGAACTTTTAGCGTCACAGATTGTTCTATTAGACTCCTTGCGGGCCGTTTGATATTTTTCCCATTTCTCTAAACTTTTGCATTTAAACCAACTTTTATAACACTTCTTATATTTTATCTTTACTTGCACATTATTATTCTACCACCAATTATTTTTATTTATAAAAATTTTTTCTTTTGATTCTCCAAGTACATTTTGATTCTATTTTTTCTTTTGATTCTCCAAGTACATTTTTTGCTACTTGTTTAATAGTGTTTGCTACTTATCCCACATAGCATTTGATTCTTCATGAACATCCCAAATTTTGAAATCTTGAATTTTACTCATAAAAATAATTTTATTTGTGTCTTTTGGGTTCTCCCATCTAGTTCTACGATGATGAGTCCTAGTAGTATTTATTTTGAAAACTCTTCATCTTAAAATTAAGAACTAATAAACGATGTTGGGTATTTAAATCCTTACTTGGAATGACCATACAATATTTACAATCTCGACGATCTCTTCTTCTCATAAGAAAATAATTAATTGGTGTTTTATTAGATCCAATCTTATAAGTAATAAGATGTTCATCTCTTTTCTTGAAAAAAGTATTAGTAATAACAAAATCATACGCTAAAGCAAAATCTAAAATAAATCTACCTTCTTCATTAGTCTCCAAGCCATCGTGAATATTTCTAAAATCTTCTACCACTCTACCGACATGTCCATTTAAATATTCTCCAATAAAAATTCTTTCTTCAAGAGGTATCATTTGTATTAAGTCTTCTAAGTCATTCCAGAATTTATCTTTAGACCATATATCTAAACCTACTTGAGGAGCATAAGCACTTATAATATTAAAAATCTTAGCATCAATGATAATCTTAAGGGCTATAATTCTATCTCCAATTCTATTAATTTTTACAACATTATCTCTCAAACTCTTATCTATAATTACACCTAAACCATTTCTAATGCGGCTCTTACTAGAATACCAAAGTTTAAAGCCTAAGTTATCAATCTCCTCAGCCTTTTCTCCAACACATTTAGTTTTTTTAATACATAAGATATTAATCTTTTTATGAATCATAATATCAACTAATTCCATTAATTTACCATTGAGAGTACATATATTCCAAGATCCTATCTTAATATTAGTTTCATTAGTTTCATGGAATAACTTCTTTACCCGCATCCGTCAGTAATGTGAGAACTCTTGCTTATTTGCACTGCACCCGAGCTCCGGTATAGCAGCCCTTACACACTTTTTACTGTACTCAGGTTATACAGCGCGTCGCTTCCAGGGGACGCCCTGACACTGATACAATGATCAAAAGGATTCATGTTGATTTTTTCGATAATTTTTACGCTGGTTGTCGACTACCTAATGCAACCCTCCACTTTTCACATTTGGGTTCGGGACCGACAAGAAAAAAAAACAAAACAGTTACAATAAAAACATTTTGAAATAGCCTAAAAGAATACATTTTAAATGCCAAAGAGTTATTGATATTTTGTCTGAATAATATAAAGACCCTACATCGTGGATCTTCGACTTGATTAGGTTTTAGAGACCAACCCTATATTGTTGATTTTTGGACCGGATACATTGAGTGCTTTCATTCACAATGGCAAAATAAAAACAACAACATCAAAACCTTTTTCCTACTAATTGGGGTCGGCTACATGAGTCTTTTTTCTCCATTGTGTCTTATTTAGTGTCATATTTTAATTTAATTCTAATAAATTAAGATCATTTTTTATACAATATGCCCAAGTCATCCTAAGTCTACCTATGTCTTTCATACAATAAGTCGAATAAAAAATGTCTACTTTTCTAATAGGATCATCAGATGGTCGACGTTTAATGTAACCAAACCATCTAAGACAACTCTCTCTAATTTTGTCTGTCACTGGAGCTACACCAACCCTATCACGGATATATTTATTTCGCATTTTGTCTCTATGTGCGAAGCCACTCATCCACCTAATCATTCTCATCTCGGCAACACTTAACTTAGTTTTTATGTTTCTCTTTTATAGGCCAACATTCAGCGCCATAAAACATTGTAGGTCTCACCACCATTTTATAAAATTTTCCTTTCAGTCTAAGCAGTACTTTTCTCTCACACAATAGGCCCGAAGCATTCCTCCACTTCAACCAACCAACTAGAATTCTACTAATACCATCCTCATCAATATCACCATCACTTTGAACAATCGACCCGAGATATCTAAAGCGTTCACACCATTTAATAATTTGATCAGCCATAATTACATTTCTGTTACTAGAGCTACTACTACTAAAATTATATTTCATGTATATTTCATGTACTAAAATTATATTTCATGTATTCAGTTTTAGTTCTACTCAAACGAAGGCCTTTAGACTCCCAGCTAGACCTCCATAATTCAAGTTCTTCCATAGTTTTTTTCTCTCGAAATAAAGAATTAAAAAAAATCATGCTGCCTTATAAACTAATTAGGCCAAATTTTCATACAGAATATAGGCAACAATAAAAAATGAATTATCTAACCTGTAAGCACTGTACTTGAATAAGCAGATTGCCAGCAAGCGAGCACTAGGATCAGTAAGAAAATCCCTTCCTTAAGAACCATTATTCCTATCAGAAAGTAAAATAACATAAGAAATCCAAACTCCTACAATGGAAATCTTAGAAGTATATGATTAAACAGTTTTTATTAAAATAACATGGACTGGTTGTTTTGCCCTACCTGAAATCTCGTGAATTTATCCACATGGCTAGAATTATCTTCAATTTAGATAATTTAGGAAACAAAAGTGTGAAACATGCAAAGCAGATTAAACAATGGATTTCTTGTACCTCAATCCATGTGAATAATATATATTTTTAAGTTCTTCATGAAGAAAATGCCAAAAGCATAATTCTCGGCTATAATTTCAGTAAACTCGGAGTTTCAACTTTAATGAGGTGGATAGCTTCAAAAATCAAACGGTATATTTTATTACATGTTTTAATTCTCGTCAGAACCTGAAAAAAATGTCATGCCAAATAAAATGGGCGTTAAAACAAAGATTGGATATGGTTTATCACTATCCTTTATACTTTTAGTCTTCATTACTGAGATATGGCGTAGAAGGCATTGTTAAAAAACCTCTCCATTTTTCCAATAGGTAAGAGGGTACATAATTTAAAATTTAAGAGTGATACAAGGGAAGAAAATTAATAGAAAGTAATAGTAAACCATAAGGAAGAATTGAAACAATAATAATAAATGCAAATATAGTTAAATAAATATATAATATAATTCTCCTTTACACTGGAAATATGTAACTAGAATATTATAGGAAATTATGATTTTTGATTTGAACATGTGTTGAGATCTTCCTTGAATGAACATAACAATCAAGCAACTAGGGACCGCTCATTAAAGGCAAGGACCTATTATTGTATTGCAAAAATGAACCTTTCCAGTTTTGTTTCATAGCTATCTATATGCTAAAATGAGCTTTTTTCAATTTTTCTTGATAGCTCTCCACCTTCTTAAGATCTTTAAGAAATCTTTCCTAACCTCTCTCTATAGCCTTAACATTTTCCACATCAGCACAAGACTATTGTCCACCAACTTGCTAGAATACTTAAATATTTCTTGCTTTGTTGGAGAAATGGAACAAGGATGTAAAATGTTTGATGTCTAGTGGGATTTTAACATTCATAATTCCTTGCTCATTTCTCATTTATAAAATATCTTGACGCGATTAATCCTATCATTGTGAATAGGATTCTTAACAATGTTGTTACAGCTTGATGGTCAAATTTCATTATCAGTGGTGGTATAGTAAAAACTTTAAGATCTTTAAGAAAATACTTGAGTCACATACCTTTCACAAATTTCATGGATCATGGCCTGAATTCTAATTCAATAATGCGTCCAGCAATTATGGAATATCTTTTTTTACTCCTCTAAGTAACTAAATTTCTTATATAAAAGAGGAATAACCATATTCAGACTTATAATCAGTTGCAGATCCTATCAAATTAGCATCAATAAAAATTTCTATGTGCTTATTAGTCCCTTTCTTGAAGAATAACCCCTTTCCAGGTATCGAAGAACCTTAGTGTTCTATATGCAGTATCAAGATGTTCCTTAATAGTTTTATTTCTGAATTAATAACACCAACAAAAAAGCAAATATCAGGTCTATTATGAGAGGGATAGAACGATAAATTTCTCTACATTCTTGATGTCTCCCTTTTGTTCATAGAAGCTCAATCATTCTTGATTCCAACTTTGTTTAAGGGATTCATTGGTACTTTCAGGCTTACACCACAGCATACCAATTTTCTTTAATACGTCCAAGGTGTACTTCAATGAGAGGCAGATATCCCCTACATTGATCATGTCATTTCCATGCTATAAAGTATTTTAATAACCCAAGATCTTTGATTTCAAATTCTATTGCAAGGAAAATTCTCAACTTGTTCATGTCTTCTTCATGATTCCATATCAAGATGATATCTCAATATATACAATAAGGTAATAGATTTTAACTTTAAATGATTTATTGATAATAAAATGTGGTTAGTTTATTGATGAGAGCGCTCATGCCATTTAATCACAATGGTAAATTTGGCGAAACATGCTTCTGGTGATTATTTTAAGTCATAGAAAGATATAATGAGTCTAAGAACTTAATTTATATCACTATATTCTCAAATCTAGAAAAAATTACTCAATAGAAATTCACTTCTTTATGCCTAATTAATGAAGAAACATAACTATTTTAACAACAAGAGAAAAAAATTATTATAATTGTATCGATCTTATCAACCAGGACAAATTTCGCGATAATCAATTACTATAGGTTTGAGTGGATCTTTTTGCAACGAATATTTCTTTGCATCCATCGTTACTTCTATCCACTCTCTATTTCACATTAAAATTCATTTTGCATCCAATAAGTTACTTCCCTTTAGAAATATTAGATAGTTTCCACATATTATTTATTTCAAGAGCCAAGATTTTTTCATGCAGTGCATTTCTCCATCCAAATAATCATAATTCTTGATTATTATTTAGAGTTTTCATATTAGAAAGATTTACAGCAGAGGCATAAAACTTAGGAAATGATTCTCCACAGGAAAAGTAATGATCGAGTATTTGGTGCAAGTACTTCTCTTTAAAGTAGAAATAGGAATACTTAAATCCTCCTCAAAATCATAATTATCTTGTCCTTATGAAGTTGTGTCATTATTCGAGTCCGACATTAGGTTTAGTTAATTTACATTAACTGCATTGTTCCACCTTGCTAGTTAATTTTTTTTGTTGTCTAGAATAACAATATATTTATACTTTGCTATTTGTACATGATCTTTGAAGCATCTGAAACAATGAGATCACACTAGCGATATTCTAAGTAGTTATGAAGATAAGTACAGCTAATGTTACATCTAAACTCATTCATTGAGTGAATTGGTATAATTGTTGAGGAAAAAAATTATTGAGTTTCAAAACCACAACCATGGTATAATTCTATTTATTTTAGGAACTGGGTGCAAAACATTTGTACCCATGGTGGTACAAAAAATAGCCAATAAAAGTACATTTATGATTTTTGGGTCAAGTTTGCTGCTTCAATGACTAGAAATATGCATAAGATAGAGCAGTCAAAACTTCGAGACATATGATAAAGATGAGATTAATTTTGGGATAGGCTTTAGGTGAGAGATCGATATGGAGCTTTGAATTTTTGAATTCTTGAGAGCATTCAATTAATGAGATATGTCACAATAAGTATGGTAATCCCCCAACTCTACTTGAGACATTGTTGGGGATCATAATTGGTCAAAAAACATCTAGAATGTGTCAATTTTTTTTCGCCACCGTATTTTTTTAAGAAGTATGGATACAAGAATTTCAGTGAAAATTTCTTTATTGCAAGAGATATTCTTCAAAAATGGAGTGAAAATATTATATTCTTATTATCAATTTAAAAATTTTGAATATTGATTTTGAATTTACTTTATATAAACGAATGAATTCCTTAAAAAATAGAACCGCTTTCAAGTTGTCTTTCATTAGGAAGATTAATGTAATTTTTGTGGTCATCAACACAGGATATAAAACATGAAATTTTTATCCAAAATGGCCCCCAAATGTCACGATGGATGATAGAAGGTTGAGGGAATTTATAAAGATGAGTAGAGTACGCTTACATAATTAGCAAGTTTAATAAAAGAAGTGGAAGACAAAAAAGAATATAGCTCAATACTATAATGAAAAATATAGAAGAAAAATATTACATTTTCTACTTTCAATAGGCAAATGTGGTACAAAATTTATAGGAGATACAAGGCACAATTAGAGGAAATGTAATAGAAAGTAATAAATGTCCACAAGGAATAATTGAAAAAAATAAATAAATGTAAATATATTATATCATTCTCCTTATCATGGAAATAAGATATTAGGAGAATATAGGAAATCACGATTTTGACTTGAGCACGTGGTGACATCCCCCAAGAATGGACATAGCAGCCCAACAACAACTGATTGACAGAAAGGAACTATTATTGATTGTAGTAATTAGCCTTTCCAATTTGTCTTGACAGTCCACCTTTTTAAGATCTTCTAGAAATGGTTCTTGACTTCTCCTTATGAACATGACACTTTCCATATCAGCACAAGACTGTTGTCCGCTAGCATGTAAGAATCCAGAACTATTTTCATGGGTACATAGAATGGTGTCAGCCTACCATGGCTTTACTATATTAACTTGGATTTTCTTCTTATTTCATTGTCATTTACTAAATTAGTTATACCCTTCTGTTTAGCTAATCTTTCATTTTCTTTTTCTTACAGCATACAACAACATATTAGTCATTCTTCTTTCCATTCTTCATCTTCTTCTAGCGCTTTATTTTATTCCCAATTCCTTAAAAGCTTTCGTGCATTTGTTTTTTTAATTTAATGGTAAAACTATTGCTTACAACTTAAATTTTCATGGGATCGGCTTTAAGTTTTTTGCTTTAGTTATGGATGGTTTTATTGGACATTACAAGGAGGATGTACCTTGGTGTATGCTTTTTGCTGGTGTTATCCTTCTCATGGATAAGAAGAGAGAAAAAATTCAAGAAAAACTTGAATTATGTAGTTCTACATTGGAGTCTAAAGGCCTTCGTTTGAGTTGAACTAAAACTAAATACATGAATGCAATTTTAGTAGTAATAGCCCTAGTGACAGAAGGGTAACTTTGGGTGACCAAATTATTAAAAGGTGTGAACGAATTAGATATCTCTGGTTTACGTTCAAAGCGATGGTGATATAGATGGGGATGTTATTAGTAGAATTCAAATTGGTTGGTTGAAGTGGAGGAATGCTTCAGGCCTTTTATGTGAAAGAAAAGTACTGATTAGACTGAAAAGAAAATTTTATAAGATGGTGGTGAGACTTGCAATGCTCTATGGTGAAAAATGTTGGCCTTTAAAAGAGAAGCATAATACTAAGTTAAGTGTTGCCGAGATGAAAATGATTAGGTGGATGAGTGGCTTTGCACTTAAGAGACAAAATACAAAATGAATATATTTGTGATAGAGTTGGTTTAGCTCCAGTGTGGACAAAATTAGATAGAGTCGTCTTAG